AACAATATCAAGACAGTAAAAAGTGGACAAATAGCACATTAGTCCCAAATAAATCACAATATATACAAAAATTAATAAATCCAAATAAAGTCAATGTACAAGCTCGATTTCTTGAAGTCCCCAGCAGAGTCGCCAGAGCTGTCACACCTCTTTTCTACCCCCAAATGATATATGTTTGTTATTGATTGTGGATGGTGGGTTAAAGAGTTTCTTCAATTAAAGTGACAAATTTGAGTAGGGATTATTTTATTTATAGAGTCGCCACTTGGAATTGATTTTTTAGTGTTCCAAGTCACCTTTTATTTGAATCCCTAATCAAAGGAAGGTTTGACTCTTTTATTAGTGGTCTGCAAAAATAAAGTCCGGATAAGGAATTCTGTTGACCGGGGAGAAGGTGTAAGGCATTCCCCGATTCCCGTGGTTCTAGCACGGTCGCTTTATTGACTACAACTTGACTTAAATTAATTTTGGATAAACTGTAATTTATTGATTTCTATGTTTTATCTATCCGCTTTTAATATTTATGGAATTTGTTTGAACAAGTCGCGATGTCGAGCACTCGTTTATTTTTGTACATATTGTGAACCGCATCACGAGAACCGTACCCATGATCTATAACATATTTATTTTTATTATTGTTTGAAGTTGTGGTCGTGTCGCATGAAATACACACCCGAACTGAAATTTATATATCGTGACCATGTCACGGGAACCGTACTCATAGCCACGATATTTTATTATTAATCACTCCTAACGCAAAATTATGATATTTATAAGATGTTTATTTCCTAAAATTTGAGATGAGCGTGAGGCCATGGATTATGGACAAGATATTATTGTGGAAACCGTCTTCAATAACAAGAACTAATTTTTGGAGTACCCAACCCGATAAAGTTAGTCACTTTTGAGTGAATACCCCAAAATAACAATATTACTGGAGACAAGTAACAAAATATATTACTTTAGCCAATAAGAAATGCTTCTTAATGTCCCCAACTCATCAGGAGAAAACATATGATAATTAGTTATTATAATATTAAAAGCAATAAAGCCCAAAAGTGTTAGTATTGATCTCAAGAATCGAGAGGGTGCACAAAGTCTTAGTTCTTTATCAAAATATGAGCTCCACTAATTTATGTCATCAAACCAAAACGAAAATGGAAAGAAAACAAACACAATCATCACATTACAAAGGCATGCTCACAGTAGTTAACAAAAAAAAACAAAGGACAAAGCATTAAGCTCATCGAAATGAGCAGTGAGGCCAACCTTCATTTTCTCAGTGTTAAGGACACCAATAACAGTTAAACTTAATGATATTTTCACTCTTAACGTACTTAAACAGAGATATGATGTATACATACGAAGCATATGGGACAAAATAATTAAATCTTATTAAATTCAAAACAGAGTGTAATACAAATCACATTTCAGCCACATATATTCAACAGTCTTTGATTCAAGTTCACAACATGACATTCTTATAGCTTTATGACATCAAAATGGACTAGAAACATAACGTCGGGGGGAAATTACCTCGACAGCAGCGAAACCAACAAAATTCGCCCAAAATGGAGCTTACAAAACTTGAAAATGGAGCCCAGCAATCTCTACTATATGTTACCGTGTGTGTGTTGGTGTCGATGGGTGAGAGGCGAGTGTGAGGGGAGATATGGGTCAGACCCTTTTGTGAGAATCAACGAGAGGTGGAGGCGATGGTCGGATGTTTTCTCTATTGGAAAAGAGAGAATCAGTCCGAAGTTGTCCAACCAGGTTTTGGGGTATAAGGGTTTTTATTTTTGGAGAGAAGCGGAATTCAGGGAAGGCCGTTAGGTTTTTCTCCTTCTCCTGTTTTTTTTTCTTTTTCCTTCTTTNATTGATTAAAGGAGCTTTATGGACTGACTTTCATGGCTGAAATATGGGCTCTTTGGAGGGTGGTTTAATGGAGGTAATGTTTAGGGAGAAGATGAATATGTGTTGAGGAAGAAGAAGAAGTGGAAGGTAGCTGGTTTTTCTCCTACTCTTAGAGCCTTTTGGGTTCCTCTTTGCAGATGTCTCTCTTGCCGGAATTAATAGAGGGAAGAAGATGGTATATCTTGTCATCTTTTTCCCCCTTCACGTGAAGAAAGAAAATGGGGATATGTGGGGGGTTGTGTGTGGGGGACAAGCATGGGGGACAAAGCATGTGGGACAATGGAGAGTAGAGTAGGGAGCAAAGTGTGAGTGGGACAAGCATGGGGGACAAATGATAGTGGAGTGGGGACACGCCTCGAAAGATGGGAGCGGGAAATATTCAAGCACGGTAAAAAATTAGGTGCTCACAAGGCGGCCTAGGAAAAAGTTAGGACATAAAAATTTTTTTAAAAATCCGCTAGGTTGAAAATCTCAAAAGAGGCGGCATCGAAAAATTTAGGACATAAAAAAATAAAAAAATCACCCATTCTGAACTACGGTATGACTTGATCCTCTTCACTGAGATACGTAGGCAGCTTAGAGTTTCATTCTAAGTTCAGTCGCATAAGTTCAAAAGATACATAATCCCCCAATCGTTGTCCGAATGAAGTACGATGGAAGTAATCCACTCAATCAACACTTGAAAATCGAGCTGAGATACCATTCTTCTGTTAAACTTTGGATCCCATTTGATTTAAATCTGGCAAGACACTATGGTAAATTGGTGTCTTCAATAAAATTATTATAGTCTTTTTAGAAGGCTACAAAGTATGTGCATTGAAGTCTGGGGATTCGCTACGTTTTCATGTTCACATAACTTTCAAGTTTGTTGGTCTTCATATCCGCTCACTGCCCTAAAAAGGAAAACAAAAGGGGGGAAGAGAAGAGAGGCGTCAGAAGAGAATACAAGTATAAGAAAGAAGATTACCTGGCACGACGTTTCAAATTCAGTGAGACTTGAACCCAAGATATTTGGTGAGAATGAAGCTCGTGAATTTCTATTTCTGACAATTAAAAAAGTCTTGCGATCTCAAGGTTTCCACACCAAGATACAAAAATTTTGGTGAAGCCGCACTAATTTGGAACCGTCGGTATATCAGAAACCAAATTCGGCCTCGAACTATCATCCGAAACTATCCTTAAGGCATTAAATTTTATATTTTGGATAAGTTTTATATTTTGAAGTTTAGTTTCCAAGAAATCAAAGGGTTCGTGATTTCGACGTTCCTACATCAAGATACAAAAGTTTTGGTGAAGTCGCGCAAATCTGAAATCGTCGTCATGTCAGCATTTAATCTTGATTTCGAACTATTATCTCAAACTATCCTTAACGAATTAAATTTTACATTTTGGATATGTTATAGATTTGTAAGTTAAGTTTTCAAAAAATCAAACGGTTCGTGAGCCCACTTCATTAAGCCCAAGTTGTCATCTTCCTAGATTAATTATTTTGTTCATTAAGCCCTAGGTTTCTGGATCTCAATTAAATATATTTTGTTCTAAATAAATATTATGGGCTAATATAACTAAAATAATTATATAAGTCCAATATATATAGAGTAAATAAATAAGTCTTAATCCATTGGGCTAGCCTATTTAATTGGGCTAAAGTGATGAGCCCACTTCATTAAGCCCACGTTGTCATCTTCCTAGAGGCCAAGTTTGACACCACGCGTCAAATGACGTGGCGCGCCAAGTCAAACAAAAGACCCAATAGGATCGTTCCACGTGTCAGAATGACAAGGCATGCCAAGTCAAATTAAATAGCCAATGAAACTGCGCCACATGTGCAAGTGACATGTTCTGGTCAATCAAATGCGGCATTGTCACACTTCAATTTGATTGGTCGGAAAGAGTTTGTTCTTATCATAACTCTTCCCTCCCACAACTATAAATAGGGGTAGTCATAACTCAGAAAAGAGACAAAAAGTTATAACAAGAAGCAAGAGAGAGCTCGTGGATCAAACACCGCAAATTTCTCTACAAGTTTCAAGTTTCAAGCAATCAAGTTCAAGTTCAAGAAATCAAGTTCAAGCTCAAGAACGAAGAACAAATCAAGATTCAAGGAGTACGAATTCAAATCAAAGTTCGAGCTAGTTGAATTCAAGATCATCGTTCGTGGCAACAACTACATATTCAAGATCAAGCTCAAAGACCCTTGAATTTATTTACTATTGGAAAGAAGAATCAGAGGATTCATAGAGATTGAACACTCATATTATTTAAAATCAAATACTACGATTGTTGCAATATTTTCGATCTTGATTTTATTTTCTTGACGCAAATTTATTGTCTACCGGTACAAATCATAAAAACTAATGTAATAGAATAAGGTGTAAATCATCAAAGAATGCATATATGTTAGGGGGTGCAAATTACAACTTACTCATCTCAGTTTAAAGTCATGCTAAATAGTGGAATTTGAGTTGTTATTATGCAAACTACAATTGAAAGATTATGATCAATATAAATTTTACCAATTAGAGATTTGACATAATATTGCTTGAAGTTGTATAGGACCTAACTATTGTTTGCCACTTTAAAATAACAAACGCAATTTGAAAAAGTCGTATAAGTGTTCCGCGTTTGTTTTGATTTTACTTAATATTTGTGTGAAACGATACCAACATTTACGTTATCATATGTTACTTGCTTTGCATACTAAAGTTAGTAACTTTGGATTTCCCAAATCTTACACAGGATTCTCCAAATCTTATACTAAGATATGTTTTGTCGGAATCATGATAAATATACGTTCATAGTAAATTAAAATCTAGAAGATATGGTTTGCAACCAATCACTTGTTTGTAATTAGGGGCTAAAATACAACAAAAAAATGTCACAGTCTAATAGCTTAACCTTTCTTACATATAAGAAATATTATTTCAACTTGGTCTGATGAATATTCTAAAAATTAATACAACTTAAACAAATAATATATTTCTTCTTCAAATAACTTAGATTGTCAATCTTACCTTACTCCCGTTATATAATGTACTCTTGCTGATCACATCGTGTAACATGCCAATAATATGTAACATAAGTAGCATGAAAGAAGAAACAATATGTACAAGTCAATTAGTTATCAAGTCTTTCAAGTCTAGTAAAACATCTGCGACCAAAAATAGAGAAAATGGAGGTTAACAATATTGTTCATAAACCAACTCGTCGGTCTGTAGATTACCATCCAAGTGTTTGGGGTGACTATTTCCTTGCATATGATTCTTCCCTTACGGTAAGAGTTCTGTTTCCGTGAACCTATATGTGTAGGTTCTACGTGTAAGAAAATTTTTACGCTATCATGTCACTCAAAAGAATATTCATAAACTATGAGATTTATAATTTTAAAAATAGAATAATTCTTGCTACACTTAGACTCTTGTTTAATTAATCAATTACTACTTATGAAGGAAATTTATCCTGATGAGGAGCAAGAAGTTGAAGTGCTTAAAGAAGAGGTGAGGAAGATGCTAGTATCAGATCATGCTGTATCCACACAAAAATTAGAGTTAATTGACATGATCCAACGACTGGGAGTATCGTATCATTTTGAAAACGAAATTGAGGAATCACTTAAACACATCTACAACAGCTGCAGTGAATTTGATGATAATGATGAGGACCATAATATGCTTGAGACACTTGCTCTTCGATTTCGATTGCTAAGACAAGCCGGATATAACGTCCCATGCGGTTAGTGACTTCTTGCTCTAAACTAGGGTCGCAAAATGGAGCTTTTAACACATTTGGATGGTCTGTCAAAAATAATTACACATTCTTAGAATATATTTATTATACATTACTAACAAAAAATACATATTCGCCAACTATTACTTTGAGGGGCGACTGCACTTTGGATTTTCTGGCAAAAATTAGCCCATAAAAACATTATCCGTTTCAAGTTTGGATCATTTATTAAATCAACTCATTTTAACTCGTCCAATTCAACCTATTTTGGCTCGCCCAATTCACCCCATGTAAAAGTTGGGTTGATTTGTAATCCAAATTGACCCGGGAGAAACTTGTTAGAATATTTAAGAAAATACTTTTTTTATTTGATATGTTATATATAGCCATAATAAAGACAAAAAGTCTTATTTAATAATTAAACAAAGGAAAAAAAAATTAGTAAGAATTGAACGGGTTGGGATATAACACGTTGTTAAGCCCATTTTGATCAAGTTCATCAACTCAAGTAACTTTTGTGCAAGTCAATATTAACTTAGCTCATTTTGAGTCGCTCATTTGACACTCCTACTCTAAAGCAAGAAGGCGGAATATGTAAATGACTTTAAGTATTTGCTAAATTATTGTTTCTTCTATGGTGAATTAGATGTCTTGGAAGAATTTATGGACGACGAAGGAAAATTCAAGGAAGTATTGGTAAGTGATGTGAAGGGAATTTTGAGCTTGTATGAAGCAGCACATGTTGGGGTTAAAGGAGAGAATATTTTAGAAGAAGCATTAGCTTTCACTACAACTCGACTTAAATCTGTGGTACCTAACTTGAGTGGTCTCCTTTTAGCACAAGTAGCTCATGCCTTAAAGATGCCAATTCAAAGAACATTAGAAAGAGTAGCAGCAAGGCAATACATAAATATCTATAAAGACAGTCCTAAGCATAATGAATTGCTACTACGATTCGCACGACTTGATTTCAACATGTTGCAAAAGGTACATCAGAAAGAGCTATGTGGTATTACAAGGTACGTCTTCGATCGTTACAAAAAAAATGCGATGGACAAATACTGCTGCTAAACAATAAAAATCTATTGCTAATCCTATTTAGCAACGACCGATTATAAGAAAATTCTATTAGCAAAAGATTATAACAAAAAAATCCTACTAGCTACAGGCTATTTAGCAATAGATTAGCATGAAATTCATAGCTAATTTATGTTTTTTTTGTTTGAAATTCTTTGAGAGTGGGCTGACACACTTTCATGTATGTGATTCTTACTAGTAGTATTTATTATTTACTCTTTAAATTTCATTTCACTTCAGGTGGTGGAAAGATTTGGATGTCGAAAGAAAATTTTCATTTGCTCGAAATCGTGTGGTAGAAGCCTATTTTTGGATATTAGGAGTATATTTTGAGCCTCAATATTATCGTGCTCGAATATTTACAACCAAAGTAATCTCCCTTGCCTCCATATTGGACGACTTATATGATGTTTATGGAACCCTCGATGAACTTAAAATGTTCACCGATGCCATTGAGAGGTGAAGTTTTACCTATGTATTTAGTACGTATACACGTTTATTATTCACTTTATTTTTTTTCTTCTGAAATCTTGATCTTCTATAGAAATGACTCAGTGTGACCAATTTCTTGAACAAGGGATCCCTATCTATCAAAATTTTATCTTCTAATTACTTTGCCCAATCCAACAAAATTAAACTACATATTCAATGAATGTCTTAACGTCGATTTGGTTGGAATTTCTTAATGAACAGATGGGACATAAATGCATCAAAGCAGCTACCTCCATATTTGAAGCTCCTATACCATTATATTCTTGATGCTTTCGCTGAAATGGAAGAGTTGTTGGCAAATGAAAACAAATCCTACCGAATTCACTATGCAAAAGTAGAGGTACATAAGGCCCAAATAGAAAGTTATTAATTATTTGGAAACTACTTTTTCGTTTTGCAATTTATGTATTATATTATACAAAGGGAAAAATAAAGAAACTCTTTAAATTGTATATGCATATGTTGTGTGTATACCTCTTCATATAAAGTGAAAATGCGATTATTTTTAGTCAGCTAAATGTTTTAAGGGATCTTTGTATCCTAGCTAACACAGAAATTAGACAATCTCACATTTTTTTCTTAATAATATATTAACATTTACAAGAAAAAATAGAATACTATTAGCCCCTCAACGTCAATATAAGTACATATAACAAATAGTTTTATTTTTAGCCTGCCCAGAACAGAATGACACATTTCTAGCTATATGTAGAAATAAATTAACTATCCCTTTTTATTATTGAGAGTGTGTGAACAAAGTCCCACATGGAAAGTAGAAAAGAAAAATAAACTACTTCTGCCTTTCGAGAAAAACCGTGCAGATTTGACCCAAAACGGACAGTATCACACCATATTAAGAATATTTTTGGGTCGTTTTAGCCCAACATTTATAAAGGATGATTTTTAGCTAAACAAATATTTATGACTTATCTAGACCATAAGTTTTTTTAAAAAAGATCTTTTTTTAACTCCGTCTAGTCAAATGTCTTCCCATAAAATAGAAAGAAGGAGTAATTTACAATGCACATTTCAAGTTCTTCTCTTGAGAGGGACATGGCAGTTTCATTTTGCAGAGTAAAAGAACATAATTTGTGGAACTTTTAGATTAATGAAAAGTTCTTTCTGTTTATGAATTTAGCTGAAGAAAGTGTGTAAAGCATATTATCAAGAGTTCAAGTGGTATGATGCTGGATATATACCAACATTTGAGGAGTATTTGAAAGTGGCACTGGTAACTGCATGCCATATGTTGCTCTCCACAATTTCTTTGGTTGGTATGGGAGAAATTGTCACTAAGGAGAACTTTGATTGGATTACAAGTGAACCTCTAATGGTAAAAGCTTCATCTATAGTATGTCGATTGATGGATGACAGAGTTGGACATCAGGTAAATATTTAAATGATCATTTTGTGTTCTTTATCTCTTCCAATTTATGTGACAACATTACTATATGGAAAGTCAAATAGTTCTTTTATAAGTGGCTTTTCTTAAATATTTTAACTTAGTACGTAGGAGTAACTATTATCATCTATAGTGATTTTTATGTTGAGTCTGAATATGTAAGTTTTATTAACTTAAGCTTGACCAGTCTATGCCGAATTCATATATACAAAAAGCTAATAGAAACAAAATTAAATTGACATTTCATCCTGTTGCTACTTTCTTGTTCGATAGAAGCAATTAATTCGAGAGGTTGGAAGATTAAGTGATTACCTTTTCTTGTTCTTAATTTTATATAGATTAATTTTGAAAAATACATTGAAGATATATCAAGAGTTAATTATACCTAGCAGTCTAGCACCCTCTGTAAATATTATACTAGAATACTTTTTTGCTACTTTACATATATATAAGTTATTAGATAACCCCAACTTATTTGGATGGAGGCCTAGTTGTTGTTGAACATATATATAAGTTATTGCCTTAAGTAGAGGTGGACCTACATTGATGGTAGAGGGGTCACCGAACTTGTTAGCCTCTGCAAAAATTGTATGTATNTATAAATATGGAATGATAGAAGATCAAGTTTTAGCTCAACTCAGATTACAGTTTCAACTCATTTCCCACTCTTAGATATATTATCCTCTTTATCGGCTAGCTACATTAGTAGCATAGCTAAATATAATGTCTCTTAAAATCACAGCAGAAAATTTGGCAGTTGGTGACCCCATTAGCCGAATAAAAGATGTACAATCTTATATCGTATTATACTATATATAATTGTACATGCATTTGTTATGTTTCATTTGGTTGATTTTGATATAGTGAATCTCTTGCATAATTAAACAAATGTTTTAACACTTTAAATTTTGAAAAGGTAGACAAACAATCATAATCAAAACCTTCTCTTAAATTAAGAGTTTTACTTCCTCATATTGTTTAATTTCTATCTTAACCTTAGTGGAAATTGAATTGTTTATTTAGTTTGAACAAGAAAGAGGGCACGTAGCTTCAGCAGTTGAAAGTTACATGAAAGAGTTTGGTGGTTCAAAGCAGGAAGCTTATGCCAAGTTTGAAAAACTTGTAGCAAATGGATGGGAAGACGTAAATAAAGAATGCCTTTATTCTGTGCCTGCACCCCGGCCTATCCTCTTGCGAGTACTCAATTTAACCCGTGTGATCAATCTCTTGTACAAGGATGAAGATTTATATACAAACTCCAAAACCAAGCTAAAGGATATCATTACCAAAGTATTAGTCGAACCATTTAAAACATAGTTTTTCAATTATGCAATGTATTTTCATCGTGTATTATTTAAAGTATAATAATGTTTTGATTAATGTACTGGTATTCGACTTAAATATGAATAAATTTTCTTACCGTATAACTTGTCTATTTGGGATGAATATTTTGATTTAAGTTACATACATTGATAGTGTAGACATCTTATACGTGATTATTATAGCTTGACATGTTATAATAGGTTAGCTACGTACCATTTTTATCAAGTTAGTAATTAGTGCTTATCCTAGAGATATATCTGTAATTACTTTATAAGTATTTTAATTATGTCAATACTTTTTGGCACCATTTATAAAGGGATTGTTACACAATAGTCAGCCAGATTTAATGTTTCCTTTTTCTAGTAGGTATATATTGATTATACATTGACTATACATAGTTACACATATATTATACATATATTATATAAGCTACGGCTATTTTAAGCTTAAAAAATTAGGTAGACAGCTATTTGGGTTAAATCTTCATTTATAAATCATTTTTAGCGTTTAAGAACTCTTTTTTATTCTTAAATTCTTACCTTGCTTTGACACAGGCCCGGTCTGGCTTAGCCCATTTCCATCAAGCTCGCGGCCCAGCTGGCCTGAGTTCTTTTCAATAATAATAATGATGAATTAACCCAAATAATCAGGTACATTAACCAGATTTCTGGTTTTTTTTAGGAAAACTTTAAATAGGGTATGTGCCTTTTTTCCTGTTTTGATGACAACAATTGGAAAAAATAATTCAAAGAGAGATTGAGATTGATTATATATTGCATATTTATTTACTTTCTGGTCACGACAAAATTTAATAGATGAGTGATCAAGAGTGTGAATTGACCCCATCTATGAATTGATTTTCTTGATATTTCATTGAAATGTTGTGAAGACTAAGCTCCCGTTTGGCCATAGATTTTACTTTATTTTTTGAAAAAAAAAATTAAAAATATTGTTTGTTTATGAAATATGATCATATTTTTGGGAAAAAAATTGAAAACTTTTTAAGTTCCCAAAAACTGGTTTAGGGCAGTTTTTGGGTGAAATTTTTTCTTCTACTCATAAAACTCCAACTTTTTATCAAATAAAATGCATGTCTAAACACAACTTCAACTTTTAAAAATTATTTTTCAACATAACTTCAATTTTTCTTTTCAAGTTTCAATTAAATTTATGTCCAAACCCTAGCTAAATTTATGTGTAACTCTATTGCTGTTCGGGACCATCTTAGGAACTTCTTATCCTAAAGAAGATAGGTGTCTGCTCAAATTGAGAACACTTTAAGACATATTGCCTTTCACTCGAGACACACATATGAAAAAGAGAGAATTATTATTTGAATATTATAGCTATACTAAGTCCGAACCCATTGTCACATATATAAGCTTATTCTAAACATTATGTACATACCTAAACTTTGCGAGCAAACCCTTATTTCCCTATTCTTACATACAAACCAGGTAAATAGTGTGCAATATAAGACGTACGTGCTCCAAGTGATTTCAAAAGAGGAATTAGGGACCAATATTTAAGAAGTGTTTTACATATTTTCCTACTCTCCTGAAACAACTATATTACGAAGAAGAAAGATATAATTCAAGAGCTATAATAGACAAGGTTTTTATTTTTTATTTTTCAGAACACATGTATCAGGGTATTGTCAGTGTAGAAGGTAACAAAAAGTTCAATAATCCAAATCTGCCTTCTTGCAGTGATACTGGTACTAATGTCTTTTACTTTATTTTATCTTATTGTACTAATGTCTTTTACATGTCATTTTACACTTTTGATAAGGCTTTTGGCCGGTGAAGCGATAGACCCTTTTGGTAGGGAGTAGGGACATTCCATTGATTTTTTTTCATAGCTAGTCAAGAATAAGTACCAATTATTCTTCTTACTAATCTTTGACATCCTCTTAATGAAACTTACCACAGATATACATAATTTAACATTCTTATCCCAAGTCTGACTTTTGCTTAATTTCTCGGTCTTAGGTTTGAAACATTTTTAAAAAATACTTGAAAACTCCGGAAAGAAGAGACGGTATAGATCATTATTACCTGCATGAAGATAGTTGTATACGGTTAGAACCGAACTCACTCGATGTTACTGTTTGATCGAGACCGGGAGTTTGCATCGAAGGACGACTCCGAAATAGATCGGATCGAGGCACGAAGACAAGGTACCAAGATCGGGATTCGAGGCACCTACCAAGATCGAGGCCGACAGCAATCGATACCGAACGAGACAGGCGTCGAGCAATACTGAAGATTGCGTAATAACGGAAAAGCGAGATATCCGCGACCGGTCGAAGATCATGACGGAAATCTCGGAACGGATCGAATCAAGAACGGTTGTTTAGTTAATCATGGGATTTCCTTTTGTAACTAGAATTGTACTATATATAGAATTTCTCTACTATATAAAGGGAGTTCTAGCCATTTGTAGGGACGACCGATAAAAAAACAATATAATTTTCTTCCTCGCTCACACTCTTGTTCTTCAACTTATTGCGTTTTTATTATCCGTGCATCAATCAATTCGGGGATACTCTAACTCAAGGGTTGAGTTCTACTCAAATACTGGTTTGATTTACTTTATTATATAATTCTATCTTTAATCTTCATATTTATCAATCGGTATTAAGTGAAATCACGTGTCCTTAAATCCACATTATAAGTTTAATTGTTATCCAATTTTAAGGGTAAACAATAGTCTTCTTAGAATTTTTTGCTAGTGTGAAAAAGAGAAAAGAAAATGGAGCATGCTTTGTGATTTTTACTATGTAAATTTAATTATTAATGAAGCACTAAGTCGTTTAGTTCGAAACCATGATATTCTAGTATATTTTGGGTATAATTTCAAGATTCATATTTGAGATTATAATCGGGGGCTATAACTTGGATAGCAATCCTACCTTGTATATGAGATAAATTATATAAAAATTTTAGAGTAAATTTCACCGGTGGTCATTCAACTTTGAGTTTATAACACAAAAATTATTTTTCTATTTTTTGTCACATAAATATCATTCAACTTTGAGTTTGTAACACAAAAATCACTTTTCTATTTTTTGTCATATAAAATCATCCAACTTTGGTCAAGTTAACTAAAACGTGAATATCACTTGAATTTTTATATTTTATACCGAAAATATGACATGACACTTCAAAATAGCTATTTAGCTTAATATATTAAATGTAATAGATTAATTTTCGTAACCTCCCTCGTGTTTCTTTTCGTATATTACTCTCCCTTGTGGTTTACAAAACTATATTTGTATTTTATTTTCTTTGTAACAACTCGAAGCTATGGGGAACATATTAAGCTTGTAGATTTTGTGTTTGTCATTTAATTATGGGAAAAACAGTATTCTTCTGCTAATTCAAAAAGGTATTTTTGTAAAATTCATTAAACAAGTGAGTATAAATTAATAAGGGCAAAATATTTAAAAATATTTTTGACATTAATGATAACGAGTTAACAAAATTATTACAAAGTAATCAAATTAAGAAAAGCAAACATCATATCATATACCATAGTATATTATAAGTGTGAAGGCCAAAATGCAAGTTAAAAGACCAAAATATCCATTAAAAGCTAAGTGACATCTTTGCCCTTCATTTAAATACTACGCTTATGTCATTTTTGTACCAAAAGGTAAAAACATCTTATGATAAATTGAGCCTTTAATTCTCTACTACACTTTACATGAAAACATAAAATACAATGTACCGTATAAATATTTTTTGAAACTTGCAAAACATTTTTGTAGTTCCAACTAAATTCATCTAATATCCAATTGAAACTCTTTTAGTCATTTTCATTTTCATAGTTTTGCCCATTAGTCTTAATTGGATAACTACTTAATGTATCTGGTCTATTTAAAAATATCTGGTATTTTTTGTATTTTCAATTAAATTCATAGAATCTTTGCTTTGAGAACATTCCAGATAAAAATACTATTACTGATATTTGATAGACATATTATTCTATAAACAAACTAAAATATAGTAGTAGTATTTACTGGCTAGCGCTCCTTTTTTTAGTTAGTAGTATTGGATAACTACTCTTGTGTTCAGATAAATATTTTTTTGGCATGATTTCTTTAGTTTTTACTCAAAGTACATAATTTTTTGCCACCCTAAAGGTGTTTTGGCTTTTTGAAACAAGCTAATAAATATATCTAGATCACTATAAGATATCAAGAACTTATACTTCTTTCTTTAATCATCATATCATATCATATTCATATACTATACTAAAGTTGGGAAGACTATAAGTTGTAAAGTTGATTTACTAAAATATTCATAAAAAACTAGACGACATTTTTACCCCTCATCTAAATACTACTCATATAACAAATTTGTACTAAATAGTAAATTTACATTCCAATAAATAATAATTATATTACTTTTTTTTTGGTGTAAAGAAAAATATTATTAATCTCCAACCAAACCAGAATTACGTTCAAACATATGTACAAACTAGAAGAAATCCTTCTAGTTGCAAAATCTGTTATCTATCCTTTCCTATCTTTTTGTTATAGTTCTCTATCCATTCCCTACTTCTTCTCCCTTCTTTCCTAATATTATGTATGCTTAGTCTAACTCTGCATTCTTGTTGAATCTGTTTGCACACCAACACTGGACTTGGTACTTTACCATTTCATATTGCATCATTTCTAGCTTGCCATATCTTGTACACTAATGCTGCCAACACTGCTGTGATCAATTTTCTGCACATTTTTCCTTTGACACTTCTTGTTATCCTTTGCCATGTTCCATCAATGCCTAATACATTTGCCCTCAGTCCAAGCCACTCCTTCAGAAGTTTTAAGCATTCTTCTGAGAAATGACACTCAAAAAATAAATATTGCAATGTTTATGTGCCTCCCCCACATATTCTACATCTTGTTTCTGTGCACACTCCAATTTTTCCCAATTTTTCCCTTGTCAATAATATTTTATGTATTGACAACCAATTTATGAAACTATGCTTTGGAATATTCACTGAATTTCAAATCCATCTAGCCCAAGGCCAGTTATTCATCTCCCATTTTCTCCATATATATCCTTTTTGTATAGAATA